TGCAGAGTACTGGTTCTTGTGCACTGCACTTCTTAATAATGAGACCTATCATCCTATGAAGTTTCATTTTTTAGTCCATGGCTTTTATACATTAGGAGAAATGGCCAGGACAAAAATAAAGTATGAAAATTAACAAAGGGCAATAACTCAAAAATTAGGAAGTGCAGAGTACTGGTTCTTGTGCACTGCACTTCTTAATAATGAGATCTATCATCCTATGAAGATTCAAGTCCATAGCTTTTTTAGTTGAAGAGAAATGGCCAGGACAAAATTAAAGTATGAAAATAAACAAAGGGCAATAACTCAAAAAATAAGAACTGCAGAGTACCGGTCCTTGTGCACTCCACTTCGGGTTATTGAAAGAAGCATGCATACCAAGTTTGATGTCAATCAGACTTATAGTGACTGACTTATGCTCCGGACAAGCTTTAGGGGACGCCGACAACGACGGCGACAACGACGCCGACAAAAGTAACCCCTATATGTCACCTTTTCAAGGCCACACAAAAAGGCCACAAAAAATTTTTAAAGTAATGAAAAGGGGAATAACTTGGGAAATGGATGGCACATAAAATTATACATAACTTGGCATGTATTTTGTACTCATAAGTAAGTGTGGAAATTATGAAGCCATTAATACAGATAAAATATAAAATATATCAAACATGTTGGTTTAGGTTATTAATAATATCCCCTTTAAAATACTGAAAAGGACAATACCTAGAATTTAATGGAAGCCACTGAAAAATAATTTGCAAATATCATGTACTTAGAACTGATAAGTAAGTGTGTAAATAAATTATGAAGCCATTTGTACAAAAATTGGCAACTTGCTGGTTTAGGTTAACCTAGTATGGACAGATGGACAAACAATCTCCGAGTTGACTTTCTGTGTTTTTTTCTCTGCTCTTCTTTGACTTAAAAACCCAAAAAGCGATGTTTTTTCACCCCATAAGCAACCTTTTTCCTCACAAGTACAGGATGAACATGGATAATTATCCCAAAATGTCTCTTGTGTTTGTACTGACAGACAGATGGACAGACGGCTCAATTACTATATGCAAAGCCAAGTGGCATAAAAAAAACCACTGCAATCAGACTTCTATAGATATTCACTCTAACACTGCCAGCAGTAATGGACTGTGTAATGCCAAACCTTTACTGTTGGCAGCCAAATGTTATCATTCTGATATTGAAATAACATTAATTGTTACATTAAAGAGACTCCACTGAGGTTTTTTGACATGATGGGACTCGCATATATTTTTTTTCAGACTTGTGTACCATTTGATGTTGGTCTGGACTTATAAGTTGATGTGCAAAATTTCAGATTATTCCCTCACTCTGTTTTTTTTCTAAAACAATTATTTTTATTGTAAAAAATGACCAATAAATGAAAAGCATTGCAAAGCTTTTCATTCAAACCATGCTAAAAATCATGCAAAAAAAAAAGATTTTCAATTAAACTCTTTGCAGTATATCTTATTATCCTTTGCTGATGTTTCCATTTAAAGTGCATAATACTTGATATAGGCAAGACTTTCAAATTTTATGATTTGAGGCTTTTTGACCTCAGTGGAGCTCCTTTAAAATTGACAATTACTTTCAAACTTTGAATCAGTCCATTACACACAATCAGGAGAATATATCAAGGGTTGACTGCAAAACTGCAGTAACTTATGTGAAATAAAGAAGAACTTTCAACGGTTCTGCGTTCAACCCTCAAAATGTTATCTCAAAGCCATTAGGAATGTCAATGCCACTACAAAAAAACCACACCTGCAATTTTCCTACAGCAGAGTGTCAGGCCAGACCAATATGTTACATCTTTTTTTTTTTGCATTAAGTCCTCATGCTACATTATGATCAACATAGCTTTTAAAATACATGTAAACAATACTATATGAAGGTCAAAGCCTAAACTTTTTTGGTTGTTGTGAAGAAAATCCTATTACCGTAATTTTAACTATGTAACTATCTAAGATCACTGACAATTAAATTACACACTATAGAATATTGTTAAATATATGTACCATCTAAACGATTGATAAAATTTTAAGATGACAAGAGTGTTAAGCTTACATAATGAAACCTACTTACAATTAAAATATGTTGACATAAAACAATTTAATACAATGACATAATAATATACATGTGATTTCTGCAGATCATTTTCTGTCATCAAATCTGTCGTAATAAACAAATGTGTAAATTATACATGTTATTTGTACTTCTTTTATTTTGCCTTTTCTTTATATCATTAAAGTTTTACCTGACCTTCAACTTAATTAGTTTTAAATTGCCTTGATCTTTTTACCTAAATCTAATAAAAAATTTATTGACATTCTAGGTAGCAAATAACCAATATTTGACAAGTTCTGTTATCTGAAACTTTGAGAAAATACAAATGTATAGATGAAATCCGAACCACATTGACATCAGTGCCATGTTTAGTTATGACAACACACTTCAGACTGTTCTAAAGATAAGTAACTGAAGACAGATTTTCTATAGAGAAAAAAAGAGATTGTGAGAGGGTATATCATTTATTTGGTAAATATTGATAATATACTTGCCCTTCATCCATCTAGCCCTGAAATTAAATTCCTCTAAATTGCTTACATACAAAACATTTTTGACAAAAGTTGAAATCAATCTAATGTATGCATGATCACATAATTATAATTATCAGATTAAAAAAAAAATCAAAGATAATCCCCAATATAACTCTTCTCATATGGCAAACTTCTGTCAATATCCTACAATAAAAAATACATGTAGCTGTTATAATTTACTCCCTAGACTAGTAACATTTATACAGTAATTACTAAAGGAATTGACGGCTGTTACTTTTTACTCCCTGGTTTTGTGTTTTGCATACATTATAATTATACCCACTTAGAAATGCTCCCCCTACTTAATCAGTACATCTTTCCTTTTTCTAAAAAAAGAAAACAAAAAGAAACTAAAGTACTAGAATGTGCTATCTATTTATGAAAAATTATTTCAAAATCCATTCACGAATAACCAAACTATTGCCAACAGTAAATAAAACAATTACTAAATAGTATGTCAACCTTTTAACAAATCAGTTTTTGTCTTCAAATAAACATGATCCCCGATCTTACCTGGCAAAATTCAATGCCTTAGGGCATTTATATGTGGGTATAAAAAATATGTACCTATTTTTTCTTGCATATCAGACAGGATTATCTACTGTTTTTACCGGTGTTACACCCCCCATGTAAGACAAGTCGCGCGCCTTAAATGACGTCATTGACGCGGGCATTTTATGAATGAATCGTGTTCTTAGGATGACGTCATTTTTCCTTATGAACGAAGTTGTATGTTCATACGCTACTATAAGAAAAAAGTGCATAATGAGAATATCAGTTTTCATAATTATTGTTTCTAAAATAATTGACATGCAATATGCAATAAAAAATATCAAACACTGGCTGTCGGTGCAGACGGGATATCTAGCTCTCGGGTAACTGTTTAGCGGAAACTCGGCAGAGCCTCGTTACAGCTGTAAACAGTTACCCTCGAGCTAGATATTCTGGTCTGTACCGGCAGCCGGTGTAAGATTCTTATATTATATGACTGTGGGAATATGTGATAATAATTTGACAGAGAAATATACAGATAACTGCTTCAGGCATACACTCCTGAATCATTTTTTATCATAAGAACTTAGTCCATATTATTTTGATAACAGATGAAATACTTTATATTTGTTAATATTTGTTCTTTCCCAAATACATGTACATGTAGTCCAGGGTCTGTAACACAAATCAGCAATCATTACAATTTATAATTTTCCACATCAAATAAGTTGGTCCACTACCATTTACATATTTAAACTTACAATAAACTGGCTATAAAAATCTGTTGTTTTTGCTTCAAATGCTAAAATACCATAAAATAACTTATCTTGAACAAATAATTACAGTAACATTTTTCTCAAGAATTATACAGCATGCAGAGTTGCAAACTAAAGTTTCATGCATACTGTGAAATCATTTTTGATAGTGTAGGATAATTTCCAGAAAAGTTGAATGAATGAAAGACAGGGTAAACTTACTCTTTAATATGCTCTTTGTGCAAAATATATGCCAGTGAATTAAAATTTAAATGATTTCACAGTAAATAACAAAGACAACACATTTAGTATGACAGTACATGTAACATTTCAGCATATCAAAACCTAGCTGACCTGCCTTTCTGAAATTCTTACATTAAACTAATTTCTCTTTTCTTTTTTTTTATAAATGATTTTTGTGAAAATCTGGAATACAGTGAATATGTTACTAACAAATAGACTCACCATTCTTTGACTCTAGAATTTATATGTCATGATATATTATACAGATTTTACATATATGCAGATTATTTATCAATATGTAGATTTTACAAAGGATCCTCTGTGACAAAGACATGAAGGGCTTTGGGACATTTGCCATTTTTAACTGTGGGTTCGAAATCATGCTGAGGACATCCAAGAGGCCATTATTTTTGAACTTACTGAATGTTGAAAGTGTTGATCGGGTTTCTTCTTCGATCATATGTAATGAATAGAGCATATGGCATTGGATATAAAAGTTCTTCCAGAAAAATTGCAGAGCCTTCTTGAAAAGAACAAAATGGAAGGGAAGAAGAATGTAACCATAATAAAAAGAACAAGATTTCTTGTTGTTATATAAAGCTATTCCGAATGCATGTAATGAATTTGTTATCGTCATGATCTCAGTAACCATTCTTTGCTTTGGTGAGTAATAGATATAATATAATTTTACTAAATTGCAAGTGAACTGGTTATTTTATGAATTCCTTTTGAATTTGAACTTTTGAAAAGTTTTTGAATTTTTTTTTGAAAATATACAATATGAAAACAGTCACCAAGAACTTATAGTTTATGTATTTTAGTTTTCTATATATTAAGTTTTGATATACAATAGAAAGCACAGCACCACAGCAACCGCACTATCATACTTTCTTACCAGTAAAGTACTCCAACGCCCACAATGTCTGCGTGTAGCCAAGATACGAAAGTATTCCTCCATCGCCACACATCTCCTGTAAAGTTCTTTGGTGGGCCAATTTTGACGGCTGCCAGGTTGATTGCAAGGAAAACAAAGAAGCTGATAACAACGGTAGTATAGCCATCTGATAACTCAACATTTGGCGATCCTTTGTATGTGTATGGGTCAAACTCAAAGGTACCACCTTTAGATTCCATTTTTATTCTGTTTCCACCTGTAAATTTTATGAAATGAGCAGCGTCACAACAAAACCAACATAGTGCGTTTGCGACCATCCAGATCAACCTGCGCATCTGCGCAGTCTGCTCAAAATCCATGCTGTTCGCTATTATTTTCTCTACTTGTAAAAGGGTTGGTAAGGGAACAACATGGATCCTGATCAGACTGCACAGATGCACAGGCTGGTCTGGATCCATGCTGGTACCAAACGCATTACGTTGGTTTTGTCGTGACACGGCTCAAATGATTTTAAGATAATCAATTTATGCATCTACAGAGCTAATACTACTCTCTCCCTTACCAGTTCCTCCCCTGATGTTTCTAGTATTTCTACCCTGACTGTTCTTCCCCTATTTTGCATATGTGCAAACTGTTCCTAACATTTTATAAAAAATTATGTTTCATTTATCTTCACATAATCTTTATTGAATTTTTTTGTATATTTTTGATATATATATAATTAAAACAAAAGTTAATATTTATGTTCCAGAACATACCTTTTACCAGTTAACTTTTAAACTAAATGTATTCAAACAAATGAAACTATGAAATTCAATGGATTTGATTAATGTGTAACTTGGACTAAACCTTAATGATATGACATTTCACCTCCAGGACGCTTCGGTCCTGGACGTTTCACCCTCAAAACCATGGTCTTTATAGCATCTTTTTTAAATTTGATAAAGATGTAAAATAAAAACAATTATGAGTTATAACAGGATATATAATGTAACTCATACTTGCATACACATTATTTATGTTATAAAGAAGATTTTTTCCAGAAGCTTCCCCTGGTTTGTTAGCATGCCAAGTGGTTAAGCACTCATACATGGAAACTCGATTTAAAGTCTCATCCAAAAGACTAATTAGTAATTTTAGTTGGCCAGCCTGGGAATCGAACCCACAATGTTGAGATTACAAGTCTCGCGCTATAACCGATTGAGCTGTGCGGGCTGATTTTGTTTGTTTGTTTCATTTTTTCAACAGTATTTCAGTCATATGGGCGGGTAGTTTCCTTACCATCGTTCCTGGAGAGTTACACCAATCATTCAATGATTCATTGAAATAATATTTTCATTAGGAAATATCTGTGAGTGTCATTCACTTAAACTCTTTCTAATACAGAACATAAACAGTAAACACTTCGTATCTAATTAAACGATCATTAAGTTACTCGTCAAATGCTAGGAACTAAAAGTATTGCTTTAAATTTACAGTGTAAATAGTACAAGATCAAGTGTCCGAAATTATTGCATCCGAATAGTGTAATAATGATTAAAAAATGAAGTCCACAAACCGCAAACCTACTGGCATACTTACAGAAATGAAATTTCAAAGAAATAGAAGTTTATTCTTCCACAACAAATCTCAACATTACTGTGTTGTGAGTTTTTTTTAAAGTTACATAATATAAAAAACAAATTAGAATTTTTGTTGTGAAGGTGTTAGCGTAATATTTACAAACTGTTAATATTACTTTAACTAACTGTACTGAAGACAGGTTAAATATCTTATAGCGAATGCTGTGGTGGTAAGTAAAGCTTGATTTTATTAGTTTAAAATACAAGTGCATCAATTCCTAAGAAATGCAATAAGGCAAAATTACGAAAAACGTTTCTACACTTTTAGCACGATAGCAAGAGAAATTAATTTAGGTTACACACCCCTATATTTTTTTATCTTATAATTGGCCTTATTGGGGGACTGGGACCGTATTCATAAAGAAGATCCTCAGTCATCAGTGTTAAGTATTATTTTTAGCTCATATGTCACAAAGTGACAGGGTGAGCTTTTGTGATCGCTTTTCGTCCGGCGTCCGTCCGTAAACTTTTACTTTAAATGACATCTCCTCATAAACCACCGAGCCAATTTCATCCAAACTTCACAGGAATGTTCCTTTGGTGGTCACCTTTAAAAACTGTTCAAAGAATTTAATTCCATGCAGAACTCTGGTTGCCATGGCAACCAAAAGAAAAACTTTAAATATCTTCTTTTAAAAAAAAATCCCAAAGAGCTAGAGCTTAGATATTTGGCATATGACATCTTCTAGTGAGTGTCTACCAAGTTTGTTCAAATAAAAGCCCTGGGGTCAAAATTGGCCCCGCCCCAGGGGGTCATTGATTTTCCCTATATGCATATAGTAAAAACTTTAAAAATCTTCTTTTAAAGAACCCAAAGAGCTAGAGCTAAGATATTTAGCATGAAACATCTTCTCATGAGTGTCTACTAAGTTTGTTCAAATAAAAGCCCTGGGGTCAAAATTGGCCCCGCCCCAGGGGGTCATTGATTTTCCCTATATGCATATAGTAAAAACTTAAAAAATCTTCTTTTAAAGAACCCAAAGAGCTAGAGCTAAGATATTTAGCATGAAACATCTTCTTATGAGTGTCTGCCAAGTTTGTTCAAATAAAAGCCCTGGGGTCAAAATTGGCCCCGCCCCAGGGGGTCATTGATTTTCCCTATATGCATATAGTAAAAACTTAAAAAAATCTTCTTTTAAAGAACTCAAAGAGCTAGAGCTAAGATATTTAGCATGAAACATGTTCTAATGGGTGTCTACCAAGTTTGTTCAAATAAAAGCCCTGGGGTCAATATTGGCCCCGCCCCGGGGGTCATTGATTTTCTATATATGTGTATAAAAACCAAAATAGCTAGAGTTTAGATATTAAGCATGAAACATCTTCTAGTGAGTGTCTACAAAGATTGTTCAAATAAAAGCCCTAGGGTCAAAATTGGCCCCGCCCCAGGGGTCATTGATTTTCCTTATATGTGTATAGCAAAAATTTTATAGCTTCTTTGAAAAAATCCAAATAGCTACTGTTTAGATATAAAGCATGAAACATCTTCTACTAAGTGTCTACAAAGTTTGTTCAAATAAAAGCCCTGGGGTCAAAACTGGCCCCGCCCCAGGGGTGTCATTGATATGTGTATAGTTAAAACTTAAAATATCTTCTTTTAAAAACCCAATGAGCTGGAGCTTAGATGTTAAGCATGAAACATCTTCTTATAGGTGTCTACCAAGTTTGTTCAAATAAAAGCCCTTGGGTTAAAATTAGCCCTGCCAGGGGGGGAGGTCATTGTTTTTCATTATATATGTATAGTAAAAACTTAACATCATGACACATCTTCTAATGGGTTTCAAATAAAAGCCCTTGGGTTTAAACTGGCCTCGCTCCGGGGGCCTATATACAGGTGAGCGACCTCAGGGCCATCATGGCCCTCTTGTTCCTAAATCTGACATCTTTTAAAGATTTTAAAGTAACACACAAAAAGTGAAGGATCAGCTGACATCAACAAGGTTAGCCTAATTAATTTGGCGTGAACAGTTTGACCCATTTTTCAGACTTTTTTATTACTGTCAAACCGTTGGAAAAAAGACAGCGCCTGTCCAAAATTATCTCGGTGTCTCTTTGACAAGTCTAATTAGTTGGACTACAACAAGGGTCGCCGAGATTTTAAAAAATAGTGGTCCAGTGCTGACAACATGTTATATGGGGAAGTCAATGGCCAGGCGGCGAAGCAGGTCGGGGGCTTTGGCTTTCCTGGCTATAGACTACACATGAAATTTTTTGCAGATAGACTAGTTTCGCATTGAGCAAATATAGCCTTTTGAGATACAATAGTATGGCAAATATGTTTTGTGTCCTTAACTATGCACAGGAAAAGGAAGATTTTAACACATAATGTGAGGACTATAAAGACTTTTCAGAATCTGTAAAAAAGACCTTTTATGAAAAAATGTCAGATAGACTAGTTTCGCGTTGACCCCTCGATGTATTTTATAAAGAAAATCAAATAAAAAATATATATGGTATTCCATACCTATCAATGTAATTTTCAGTGTTACTGTGTCAGTTCTAGGTGCCACCATATTCAATGTAACTCAATGATAACGGGAGGGGTATTCCGATAACTGTACAATATATAGATAATTTTTTGATTAATAATGTCGAGTATTCCGAGTGAAAACAAAAGTGCTGCATAAACTACGGAATGACACCTTTAAAACGGAAAAATGAATGATTATTTTTACCGACTTTCCCGTTCATGCATAGGCTTTTCTTTATTTCATGTTAAAGGTTAGTGCCAAGACCTGCATGTATATATCTACATCATCATGTAGACTATGCGAGTCACTAGATAGATGGATAAAAAATGTTATAAAAGCAGAATAAAGATAAAAACAGGGGTAGGTGTGTCTGAACATCAGGGACCAGACATGGTGGTAAAGCATTCCAATTGAAAATTATTCTAGGGAAATATGAATATTTATAATAGTAGTTGTTCGGATTTGTTTGAAAGCATTAGAAATTTGGCAGTTACAAGTTGGTCTTGTTACTGGTTTGAGATAATCTGGCAGGGGAATGGCAACCTTATTTTGTAATACATGTATGTTGTGAAACATGATCAGATGCTGATCTATGCATCTTTGTTTAAGGCTTGTCTGAAGTTGCCTGATAAAAATTTAGTATATAAAGGCATAACCAATAACTTAAAATCAGATTTTTTCCGTTTTTTAAAAAAATTTAATGTATGGATATGATATTTCATGAATAACAACAATATTTTAAACATATTTGAGGTCAAATCAATGCACCTTTGATACTTAAAGACTGAGAGTAATATTTCAGCGAACAGATGTATAGTGACATAATGTTTTCTGATACACACTGAGTCAACAAAGGGTATGTGTACTTTGACCTTGTTATTGATACATTCTGAGTTATAATACAGAGGTAACTGACTCCAACGTTTATAATTTTTTATACGTTTTTTTTACACGATTGCTAAATTCCGAAATGATACTTTTTAAACGGTGGTACTTTTATGTACTTTTATGTACTATGCTGTACCATGTATTCAAGTTGCCAAAATTTATGATGACTTACTTTCTATCTAATGCATGTACAAACAAATAACATTCAGGGCTCATCGTAAGAGAGTTGGCACATATTTTCTGCATTGAATCTCCATTTCTTTTAAAAGATTAAAGCCTTTTAAAAGGAAAATCAACTTTAAGTCACATGCGATTATTGCACAGTGATGCTGTAAGGTGGGTTGTAGATACCCATTTTCTGTTTTAACTTTGGAGTAAATCAATCAGAATTGATAGAATTCCTGATTACAGGCAATGATTAAGATATTTTATAACACAATGTGGTAATTTCCTTTAAACATTAAAAAGTATTGTAAGCGCTTGCAAATGAAAAACGAAACAAAACATTTAAACGTGTAACTGTCGGGGCCTTATACAGAGGACATGACTGTATACTGAGTGACATTGTTGTCTGATACATACTCGGTATACCAAGGAAATGTGTACATTGACTTTGTTTTTGATACATTCTGAATATACAGGGGTATTGTGTACAGTGACTTAATGTGCTCTGATATACATGATATTCAAAGTACATATGCACAGTGGCATTATTGTCTGATATATACAGAACAAACAGAGATAATTAAGGACTGGTGTACTGTGTCATTGTTTTCTGATATATATACTGAGTATACAATTACAAAGGGCAGATGTACACTGACATTGTTTTCTAAAAAAAAAGCTGAGTATACAGAGAACACATATACAGTGACTTTGCTTTCTGATATAAATTCTAGGTATACAATGGGCATGTGTACAGTGACATTGCTTTCTGATATAAATTCTAGGTATACAAAGGGCATGTTTACAGTGACATTGCTTTCTGATATAAATTCTAGGTATACAATGGGCATGTTTACAGTGACATTGCTTTCTGATATAAATTCTAGGTATACAAAGGGCATGTGTACACTGACATTGCTTTCTGATATAAATTCTAGGTATACAATGGGCATGTTTACAGTGACATTGCTTTCTGATATAAATTCTAGGTATACAAAGGGCATGTGTACACTGACATTGCTTTCTGATATAAATTCTAGGTATACAAAGGGCATGTTTACAGTGACATTGCTTTCTGATATAAATTCTAGGTATACAAAGGGCATGTTTACAGTGACATTGCTTTCTGATATAAATTCTAGGTATACAAAGGGCATGTGTACACTGACATTGCTTTCTGATATAAATTCTAGGTATACAAAGGGCATGTGTACAGTGACATTGCTTTCTGATATAAATTCTAGGTATACAAAGGGCATGTGTACAGTGACATTGCTTTCTGATATAAATTCTAGGTATACAAAGGGCATGTGTACAGTGACATTGCTTTCTGATATAAATTCTAGGTATACAAAGGGCATGTTTACAGTGACATTGCTTTCTGATATAAATTCTAGGTATACAAAGGGCATGTTTACAGTGACATTGCTTTCTGATATAAATTCTAGGTATACAAAGGGCATGTGTGCACTGACATTGCTTTCTGATATAAATTCTAGGTATACAAAGGGCATGTGTACAGTGACATTGCTTTCTGATATAAATTCTAGGTATACAAAGGGCATGTGTACAGTGACATTTCTT